ACCACAAGTATGTAACTCTTCCTCCCTCTCCCTTAGCTGAATTCACTCCCCCTTAAAAGTTTTGCTTAACACTTAAAATAGCTTTATGAGTAACATTTTTTCTATTTTTATACAACAGTAACTATTACCCATACCCTCTATGATCTGCAAGACAGGATTTGTGTTAGTCAATCTACCTTCTGTGTATTTTAATCAGATTTTAGATAGGTAGATCTCTAGGGTTGTGTTTCATTTTTTCGTTATTTACAACTGAAAGGATTTCATAAAAGTCATCCCACCATTCCAATAGAATAGAGAGATCTGTTCTTTATAAAGCAGAGACAGCGATAACATTGCTACTAATGCTTGCATACTCAAAAGACCAAGGTTGCCATTGTATTAGATACTGCATCCAAAAGAGAATAAAAGTGGGAGTGCTTTCTCCCTCATTTAAGAATTTTGTTAGTTATGGTCTTTCCCCAACTAAAGAGTCTCCTGTGGACTGTGATCCATCATAATCACAGCAGGCAGTCAACCTTTGCTTTTCCCAATAACTTTACTTGCTACTTATCTTCAAAAACACTGCTCTTCTATAATATTCTTGCTATACATGCAGACGGCTTCTTTTCTTGCATATTGTGTCCAACATTTATGGCTCCTTTTCGTGTCTTTTGTCTGCCTAAGTGGTACCAGAGACACCTGGTAAAGTACTTGTACCAATTCTCTTTAAATGGCTATATGCATGGATTTGGCCACCTTTGAAATGTACTGTTCAAACTAGTGAAACAAGAGATAAACAAGGATTTTATTTAGAAAACAGTTCAGCTGCTAGATATTTGCTTCAACAAACATGTCCTGAAAAGAGTGTTTTCAAAGGGGAGGAATCTATTCCATGGCACGTACAAAGCAGAGGAGGAACTGATAGGATGGATTGATGTGAGTATTGAGAAATGCTAGATCTTTCTGTTCTAATGGGAGAGTCAGCCTTCAAGTGAATGTTTTGCAAAGAGTATTTTGCACTAGACAAGGATGTTGGAGACTATTCAAACCCAGGACACCAGGAAGGTATATGGCTACCAGCTGGGTCTGTTAGCTCTCAAACTATGCAGAAGGCAACAAAGGACCTCCACACCACACAGCCCAGCTTTCCAGTGGGAGGTTCTCCAGACCAGATCTGGTATACTACAGCTTTCAAGGATATGGCACAAAGCAGATTAATACTGAGGCCTTTCATGGGTGTGAGCACAAATTGAAAACTATTATTGTGAACCACTTAAAAGATGCTAAAGTTTTAAATACTGTAAAATGATGTAAACAAAGGCATTAATCAAAAATTACACAATAGAGAAACAATGGATCAAATAATAAAAGCATGGATCAAAACAAGTGTCAAACAAAAACAATGAGCACAGCAACAGGCAGTTTCTTGAAACTGGACTTCTCAAAACATTTCCTCTTGGACCTTTTTCCAAATAATCCAAAGCCACACAAATCTAAGCAAAATCTAGATGCAAGTCTGCCAACAAGGCATTGTTTCTACAGAGAGCCAACCATAATCACTGACTAAACCTGCCCAACTTCTGACAAACATTTTACTACAGTAGCTAAGCCTTAAAAGGTTTACAACTTAGATCTAAGTTACAGATCTTCTATAACTTCTTCTAGATCTTCTTAGATCTATAGTTATAGCTTCTGTTTCTTGATAGCATTGCACTGTCTAGAAATACAGTTTCCATATTATTTAGCATATATTATACTATACAGTTTTCAAGTTATAATCTTTCCATTATCAAATTTACCATACACTTCCTAATTTGTATTTTATCCCTAAATGACAATGGCCTAATATATTATCTTGAATTTTAGAAAAACTAACACCTTTTTGTTTTATTTTGCCAACTATCAACCCATCATAAGACCTCAAGTCCTAAGCAACTATGAAAATGCACTAATAATATAATTAGTAATAATCAACTGCACATCCCAACTGATAGAGACAATTGGAAAACAACTTAAAGATGTGTACTTCACATCCCTAGCATCAGAAGTTGTTCTGCCACCAGATGCATTACACAAGTGAGACACTGACAGTGACTCTAAAAAATGAAAGATTTTGTACCATTTCTACCACAGTAGAGATGAAGTAAAACACATAATGCTGGCCATATACCTCACTCATTGACACACACTTTTTTTTATCCTGATCGATATCAAGAGACATATGGACAAACTCTCTGAGCAGCCTGAGAACTGAACTAGACACATGCAGCATTAGTACCTGGATCACCTTAACAGGAACTGTCCTGAAACATTTCCTAACTCATCAATGAATTTAGTTAAGCCTTAGGCAAGGTTTCTTCTGACACTAGGAAGAGAAGTCTTTCCTCCATAAAGCATAGGCTTAGCTCCCAACACTGGCATGGAAGGTATGGTATGAAATTACCTCAGTCCTCATTAAATGAACAACAGAAACAGAAAGGTGAGTTTGTTGGGGTTTTATTGTATAAAAAAAGAACTAAATCAAAAAGTCTGATTTTATTATTAGACCTTCATATAGAGCTTCTTATAGCAATCACAGCAGACAATGATCTCTTTATGAGCACTAGATAACATAATAATTACCCTAAGATAAGAAGAGAATAATTACACTGAATTCTTTTGCAAGATGCTTTGAGACCTACTAATGAAAAGCAATGCTAAAAGCTGCGTATTGTAAGTATGCTTAATAACTACATAAAACAAGTACAACTTTTTCTAAAGGCTAGCTATAAACAAAACTGATTTTATTTGAAAGTTCAGCTGAATCAATCAATTTTTTGTGACAAAAATGAATCAGCTGCACTACATCAGCTTTCTTGGTGCAAGTTCACAATAGAACCATTTAAATCTATTCATTGCCTTACTGAAGGAAATATAATGAATATTTCAAGCTGTCCACCACAGGCTCAGTATAGTTCAACATGAGTAGGGTTTTCATAGAATAATGAATGTGTTAAAGGTTTTACAATAAACATCTGTTGACTAGGTGAGAAATCCAATCTGTTGTCAGAAGCTGTGATGCAATGTACAAAAAAAATAAATTGTCTTTCTATGAAAATCATTCATAACAGTTCCAGTTGTCAGTTTTCTAAGCTATTTTTAATCTTATAAATAGCTATCTATATATACTATCAACCCACTACCTCCTTTCAGCCCCCAAGAAACTGCTAATGACCTTCTTACAAAATTCCATTGGGGGCGTGGGGGAATATGCAGTTTTTTGAAATAGCTCTACTTTGCCTGACATTCCCACTGCCTGTGAAAAATGAGGCCCACTCGCACAAATGTTCCTTATAAGAGCAATCAGGTTAGGAACTGCTGGCATGAAGCTATTTCTTGAATTAGGATTACAGGATCAAGCTGATAGCTAGCATGCCTGGGGATCACCATGATTTTGCTATTGTGGAAAAATCTGTGATGGTATCCTCAAAATAATTTTACCAGAAATCTTGACACAATGAGACAACAATTTAAGTCTTTAAGCTTAAATATAAACAGTAAATGTTAGTGGTTCAAATGATCGTCTCCAAAGCTGTCAATATTGTATTATGGCAAAACACTTGCTATTTTGACACAGCTCTTACTATACTTCATTTTATTAAACAGATACTTTAAGATTCAAAATTTGCAAATTATTTTCAAAAACAAACATTAAGAAATATTTTTTTTATTTACAGTTTTCATAGATAGAAAATAACCATTGCAAATACCCCTTCCCTATTCAAAACACAGGATGTTGCTCATGAATCAGTAATCCTTGGACAGGCAAATTTAATCCTGGCAAAATGAAACTACCTATGACAATAATATGAGTGCAATTGTATTTTTTTAAAGATAAACATTTTCTATTAAGAGGCCTTTGTTTAGTTCTTGTTTGAAAAACATGTATATCTAAGCCACGGGCAAAAAAGGACTCTTAAATACAAAAACATCACATTTGACTCAGGCAATCCCTTAACCTCAAATTGCTGGAGGCCTGGCTGGTTTCCCAAAGAATCACAGCACGCTCACCCTGTTGTTATGGTGTTTCCTAAGCATCTGCTATGTGCCACTTGCAGAAACGGCAATCCAAACAAGACAGACCTTTGATCTCACCCCATACAGCTGCTTTTAATCGCCTGTTCTAATGCCTCAGACAAATTTAAGCACTGAACTGGTGAACGATTCCTACACTTTTTCGGAAACCTTTAGGGAGCCAAGGTGCTGGAACACGTTCGCGCACAGACGCTTACGGAAAGGTACGACGAGAAGCCACAACACAAAGAATGCGAAGGAGTTGCGCTCCTGAGGCGGATCTGGGCACATCGCGGGGCACAGCTCCGAGCCGTGCGGCCCCCGCCACCCCCAGCCCCACTGAGGCGGGGGCACGGCGGGGACGGAGCGGGAAAGGGGAAAAATGGAAGAAAAAGACAAAAATATTTACAAATGGCAGCGCTACAGGCGGTGCACGGAGAGTCACAGGTGATGCCGGAACCGGCGCTTCCCTCCCCACCGCCGCCGCCCGGGGCTCCCGGACCCCCCGGCCGCTCCCGTACCTCCGGGGGAGGAAGGGCGGGCACCACCCCTGCCCCACGGCCCAGAGCCGCAGGTGCACGGGCAGGATGGGGGCTCCGGGCAGCCTCCCGCCCGCTTTCCCGGGGCTCATCCCGGCCGGTGCCCGGCGGGCGCGGGGGAGCCGCGGCGGGAAGGACGCGGCGCACGGCGGACACGCACGTCCCGGCGGCGCACCGGGACCCCCCGCCCGCAGGGAGCGGGACCGCCCTGCCGGCGGCCGGCGCCCACCGGAACAAAAGGAAAACAGCCCCGGAGCCGCCCGCGGCCCCGCACAGCTCCCGGCCCATCCCGCCCCACCTCCCGCACTCACCTCGGCGCGGCAGCGGCGGCGGAGCGGGCGGCGGCCACTCGCGCCCGCGGGCTCCCTCCCTCCCGCTCCCTGTTCCCCTCCCTCCTTCCCTGCCCGCCCTCCCGGCTCCGTCTCTCACCGCTCCCGGAGCGGCGGCGGCGGCGGCTGGGCCCGGCTCCCCCGCCACGTGACCCCGCCACGTGACCGCCGCCCTGCCCCGGCCCGGCTCCGCCCCCGCCGCCTCCCCGGCCGCACCGGGATGGGCCCCGCCGGGAGCGGGGCTGGTCCGCAAGCCCGGCCCGCGGGACCCGGCCGGGCCACGGCCACGGCAGGGCCACACCGCAGCGCGGCGTGGGAACAGCTCGTCTGACGGGGGAAAAAATCCCTGTGCCCCCCCCAGCCCCTCACCGCCCGCTGAAACCACAATAGCGGGCGTGATGTGACAGCAAAGCGCTGAGAGCGGGCTTGCCCCTTCTGCCTTCAGGGCTGAGAAAGAAGGAGAGTAAGTGGGTGCCAATATCGGGGGCATCGAGCCCCATCGTGTATCTCGCATTCCTCCCCGCAGGAATAACAAGCGCTGTATTCCTGCATTTTTGACTCACACCAAACACAGCGAGCGAAAATTAACTGTGCTGACCAATGTTCTGTGCTAAGCGTAATCTTTGGTCCCAGAAAATAATGCTTACAGTAATGGGTCACGGGGGTGTCTTGTCGGAGAGAATGCCTTTATCCTTCAAACTTGGAAATTCGGGATACAGTCCAGAGATACCAACACTACAAGACCTGGGGGAGCCTCGGTAAAAGCAAACTGTCACGCTGTGTTCTGGTATCACATTCAATGCACATTCACTTTCTTCAGAAAGGAATGACAAAATGCCTGAACATGAAAGGTGTGAAGCACTCAGTAGTTTAAGAAAACCTCGAATGAACTGCAATTATCAGCTCTAGAAAAGCCATCCAAGGGATAGTACATGGGGAGCAGAAAGTGAAAAGGCCCTAGCCCCTGCTGGCTTTAGTAAACAAAACTTACAGACCATTTCAGAAACTAAAAAGGTACATATTTTTCACACCATTGCCCAAAGCTCCACGAGGATTTTATCTTACAATCTATAGCAAGAAGGGGACAAACTTTGTGCCAGAGGACCAGCTACATGTGCAAAAATTTGAAAGACTGAAGCCTGAGATAATGTGTTAGAGTTGGGTATACATTTTGTCTGTTAATAAAATTCTCATTTAGAAAAAAAGTTGCTTTTTATTGAAGATTTTCAATTACACTACACAGCTAAACCCTGGGATACCTCTTAAAAGATCCTATAGCTAAATAAATAAAAGCTGTCAGGCTCAATATCTGGGTGCATTACAGAGCTGTTATCAACTGGTGAGCTGTGGAGACCAGGTTCTTCCCTGAATTGCTCACTGGATATTTTCACAAGACAGCCATCACCACCACTGGTAGGCTTATATTTCAGTAGAAAATTTTGAGGAGCAATTGAATTCAAACCATTGTTCACTCAATTCTTGTGTCTGACTTCAGCTATCTGTGTCTTAGCTCAATTCCTAGTTTACTGGCCATCATAAGAATTACATTTAGGTAGGAAAGGAAAAAAAAATCAAAGAGAGGTTTGCAAAGCACCACTGCAGCTTTAATTGCCTTTGTAATCCTGTCCTCTTCACCCCAAGCACACTAACTGTGGTGCAAAAGTGTTGCCCTGCCCACTAATCCCTCATGAGCTGCAAGAGAAGTTGTGGCTGTTCCTAATCACAAGAGAAATCTGTTTGGTAGTTGTTCACCAGCCTCTACACACTATGACCATGACTGATACCTTGCAGGAATCCCACCCATTCTGCACCCTGTTTTGTGATGAGGAGCAAAGGAAAATACATGGGAAGATGTTTGTTCCGTCTCACTCTATCAACATAACACATTTGTTTTCCAAAATTGAATTTACACAGATGCACAAGAGTCCCAGGAACTAGAACCAGATACTTCAGGTGTTTAAACCTTGCAACAGAGGAACAATCCCCCATCTTTTTCATCTACATGTGTGAATCAACAAGATCTTTTTCCATGCTGGGAATGGACTACAGCATTCCTCCATGTGCAGAAGGGAAGCTACAGCAATCTCAGATGAAGTCAGTAATCTCATTGAGTGAAACCCAGGGGTATCCTTAGAGATAAGACAAGGCCTCATCTTCCAAAGTGAAAATAGAAGTTAAGATCTCTACTATTTATAGCAATAGACCATGGTCCTGTAACTTGCCTATGGGACATTGTTGCTCTATAAATGCAACAGGAGATCACTCTTGGGAAAATACCACTGCTGTATTGCATCAGGTTTGTGAAACTATTTTGTACTTTTTTGAACCGTATTTTACTGTGATTAAGAGCACCTCTTTAGGATAATGAAGAATTTTAAAGCATACTTAATTCACACTTCACAGTATTTCTTGAAAATATATACAAAACATATAAAACCCAAAGGAAATAGACAACTTTTTCCTTCACTAGCCTGTTCATCCCTTCCTCCACCAGTCTACTAAAGTCTGACCTAAAGTACCAGTTCATTGGATTATGGTGCTAACAGTATAAAAGTTAAAAGACATAGAAACATTTCCTTTATAAGTTGAAAAAAAAAAAAAAGGCACATAGAATTCACCTTGCAGAACACTACCTCACAGAACCTAGAATAGGTACTGAAGTGTCTTGCTATGCAAAAGCTGCTTTTGTAGATGCCTCCATTATTCTACTTTCCTGCTTCACCTCTATCTGGATTTACAGCATGAATGACTGTCCAATTTTAATGCATTAGAGAGTTTCATACGCAAAGTTGCTCCCTTTTTTCACATGCAAATCTATTCACTCCTTCCACTCAATGCATTTTTGTTAGTTTCATATGCTCAACTGATTCCAAAAGGCATTTCCTTTTGATGTACCTCACCCTGAATTTTCATCTACCACAGAGGAACACATCAAAAAAAGAACAAGTCAGCTAACCTGGGCAGATTCCCCAACAGAGCAAGGATTTCCTTCGTAGCTGAGGGAATAGCCAAGCTGAAGAAGGATTGACCAAACCCTCCACTTGCCTGGCTGCTCACTCTAGCTTTCTCCTGCCTGTTTTTGTTGTGGAAGCAGCTCCAACCTTCCACATATATTTTGCCCCCCTTCTTCAAGACCTGAACAGGGAAAATAAGACCTTGCCTTGGAGAGAAGTTCACACTGGAGCAGGATTCCTGGTAGGACTTGTGACCCTGTGGGGAGTCCAAGCTGGAGCAGGCTGTGACTGCAGGACTGAATCCGATGGAGCAGTGACCCACATTGCAGCAGTTTGGGGAGAACTGTTGCCTGTGGGATGGACTCACACTGAAGAAGTTCATGGGGAACTGTCTCCCATGGGAGGGACCCCATGCTGGAACAGGGGAAGGACTCTTGTCCCTGAGCATGGGAGAAACATATGGTGATGAACTGACCAGAACCTCATTCCCTGTCTCCCTGCACCACTGAGGGGGATGAGGTGGAGCTGGGAAGGAGGGAGGGGTGGAGGGGAAGGTGTTTTTAAGGTCTTATTTTATTTTTCTGCTCTGATTTTGTTAGTAATAAATGCAATTAATATCTCTTATTCAAGTCTGATTTGGCCATGACAGTATTTGATGAGTGATCTCTCTCTGTCCTTATCTCAGCCCTTTTCTCTCCCATGTTCAGTTGTGGAGGGGTGTGATAGAATGGCTTTGGTGAGTCCTGGCACCCAGCCAGGGTCAAACCACTACACTGCTACACTAGGGAAATGTATTCATGTGTGGGTTGTTTTTTGGGGTTTCTTAACCTTACATAGTGTTTCAAATTATGGCATACAAGATAATAACTGAAGAGATGAAGGTTAGTACAGATGGCAAGGGATTGGAACTATTTAAGCGTGGCAGTGGGTGGTGCTCCAAAGAAAACAGACTGAGGAGATACAATAAATGGAGTCCCTGAAGAATTAGTCATGATACTGTCCTTTCTAATATTTTCGTTAGGTGACCCTAGAACAAAAATATGAGTGTGCTAATAAAATTTGCTGATCACACAAACCTGAGGATCAACAATACAGCCTAGACTCAGAATAGATACATCATTCAGAAAACAATGGATGACCCCCAGAAGCAGACCACTAAAAAGAATAGGATTAAATATGATAGTACAAAATCATTAATTGAAGGACTTGAAAATTTTAAACTGAAGGCATCAAGTGAAAAGACAGGAGAAGAAAAATCTGCATCTGTCAGTCAGCAAGAGAATACCTGTAAGGTGTTTGATGACATATTGAAAGAAGCTAATACTCCCAGAATTTCAAAGAGGTTCTGGAATATGAAAAAGAGTGTGCTGGTCCATACAATATGCTGATCAATTACACTGAAGAATTAAATTAAACTTGAAATGGGTACTAAGGAGGGCCAGGAGAAATAGACATGACTATCTGTGTGTTACTCTATTAAACAGAGTAATTTTGCCTATTTTACTTACTGCATCAGGTTAGGCTCCTCTTTTATGCACTTCACAAGAAGTCCAGCATTATGAAACCCTAGTTCAATGTGAGCCCTTTGAATATGTCTACAATATAAAAAAGATATATTAATTTAACTTTCTCAGCAAAGAGCACATTAGAATATTAAAACAAATAGCAGCTGGTAGAAATATTTCCAAGGTCCCTAGGCTTTTCAGACAAGTGCCTTAATGGCTGAGATATAAATTTATATCTTTTTCAGCTTAAATCTAAAGAGACCCATACCATATATAATTTCTTCAAAATCTCTTATTTCCAAGTGTGGTCTCATGAGCAGCTTAAGTAAAAGAGTAAAAGGACAGTGCAGCAAAACTTAAGCAGTCCTTTTTTTTTTTTTTTCCAAAATTCAATGGAGATAATATTCAAATACAAAAATAATGAGAGAAATCTTGGAAAATGTGAAATAAGAGAAAAGGCACCAAAATATTCAAGGTCTTAAGCACAGTTTAGCACCAGAGTCCCAAATTAGTGTACCCTGTACTGTCACCTTCCATTTTAGAAGATATGACAAATACAGAGACTGTTGCAAAAACAAATGTTAATTCATTTTAAAAAACACCCAAATTAAACCCAGCTTAATTACAGCATAATGCCTGCGTTATTGTGGGTAGTCCTAGAGAGGAACATGACAAAATATTT